TGATCGAGGGTGTTGGTTCAATGGTATACAATTATCTTTAATATAACTGGTTGTTTTATGCAAAATTTTTCAAGATTTTTATTCTTCGTTTGTCAACTAGACGAACAAGCAAACATCGTTTTGAAGTATATTCAAATATCTCAACTTATAATTTTCAAATAATCGAATATATTCTCAAAGTGATTTCAATCGCTCTTTAAACCAATAAAATACCGAAGAACAAATAGTATGCAACTAGAAGGTAGCAATTAACTAGATAAATATAAGTTCATTAAAACTGAATGAAGATTGAAATCGGTGAGAGAGAACAAGAATATATGAAGTATGTGAGTGATATTGAATGAATGAAATTAACACGAGAAATAAATTTCCATATAGCAAGCAGAAAGAGAAAAGAAAAATGACGGATAAGAGAAGTGTAATCCTCTATTCTGAGAATAAAAATGCAGTTGGAACGTGCATGAAAAATCTCCGAATAGAAAAATACTCATGGCATAAGAGAACAATGAAAGATCCAGAAAAAAAGAGGCAACCACTGGTCAAATTTTATCTTTTTGTACCAAAAATTTACTAGTTGTTAGTTTCTACGAACATAAATGAAAAATTTCTTTTGAAAAATTTCCACCATGCCATTTAAGAATCAATTGGTAAAACGTATTAATGTGCTATATCGAACAGATGATCGTCGAAAATAAAATGAAACAAATTATTTTGATATCCTAGATATTTCATAAACTGGTCAGCTTTTATTAGATGAACATTGTCTTTGACGCAATTTTCTTTGGTCATAAAGAATAAAACGTATCTATTTATTGGCAGTCCGACCTCTTTTTTTTTTCTAACAACATAGACAAATCTTAATGAATTGTTCATGTCTAAAAAAACATCGTCGAAGGAAGGACAATAAAAGAAACAAGTAATCTACTTTTGTTTATATTGAGTATTGTAATTCAGAATTAGAAATAAAAAAGATCTCCATATGAAGGCAATAATAAAAGCATGTTGATGGTATTTGGAACTACTTCAATCAGTTAGATAACTTTTAAAACTCTTATCAAATATACGATAGATTTTGATTTTTCGAATGATCAGCAATGCCTTTCATTTTCTTAGATATTATCTCAGGAATCTATTGAAATATTATTGATATATTTGGAAATGTGACTATTCAAATTCTTAAATATATATTCAACTTGAGCATTATATAAATCAATTTAAAATTCATTCAATTAATATTATTAGCGATGAAAACTTTAAACTGTTTTATCTAGAATACGTTTAGAAAAAATAAAAAAAATATTTATGTAAAATATATTATCCCACTTATTTAAACGTAGACATTTCTAACTAATTACAATCAATGTCATCTATTCAAGATTTTTATTTAAATTAATTAGAAAAATGATATATTTTTAAAACTATTTTAAGCAAAAGTATCTTTACTAACTTTATTTTAACTTGGAACTTTTCGGTTCCTCTTGTCCTTCCTAACTGAGGATCATACACACCGAACTCCTTTCTCATTGTTCTCTGGCAACTAGAAACGCCAAACAAAGGGTTCGATGCCATTGAGAACAAGGTTTAGATTGTTCCATCAAATTCCAAAGGTTACATTGAAATTCAAATCGCTAAAATAAGTTTTTTCACTGTTCTAAATAGTGGAATATGAGACTTATCTCCAACAACTGATTATATTCAATATATGAACAATGATGATCGATTTATTTTCTATATTCATCATATAACTAAGACAAATAAACATGAACTCATCAATATCAATCTTTATAACTTAATCAAGATACATAATAGCTTGTTTAAAGATTTATTTGAGAAATCATATACGTATATTTAAAAGAAAATTTTATATTAGATGCATAAATCGTTTTAAGAATAATTCATCTATGAAGTAAAGATCAATGATTTTTACTACGAACAAATAGTGATGAATGAAATAACAATAAATTGGATCATTAAGAAAAATTCCTGTTCGACATATATAAATAAATAAGATGGATCTTATCTCGCATGATCGATTATGCCTGAAAAATAATTATTGTTTAGTAGAAATTTTTCATTCTACTGTTTTTTTTTTGTATAAATAAAATGTATCTAACAAATACATTAGAGTTCTAAATTTGAACCTTAAAGAAATCGTAATGATTATCTTTAATATTAAATTCTATAAAAATTATAATTTTTTATTTTTGAAATAAACATCTCGAAAATAATTCTTAAAAAAATCATTTATCAATCAATTTAATTATAGTTAAACAGGAAATTTCTCTTTCGAATAAGATTTTGATTCCTTGTTGATATATACGGACGATATTATTGATGTTATGTTTCCAATAGAATAAAGAAGAATAAATTGTCTTAAAGAATAAAATATTATTTTAAGAAAAAAAATCTAACAATTAATAATGTGCATTTAATAAACATGAGAGAGAATATCTTCATTAACTTATACATCAAATAATTGGTATTTTAATGTATTTTATTCTAATTAAAGTTCATTTAAGTGTTTAGATGCAGATCGACAATGTCAAACTAATTATTTATCATTAAAAACTCCTCTTGCTTCTTTTTTTTCAAAAAATTGTTCAAATCTTAAATGTCTTCTTCAAATTGAATTTCAAACAGTATTTACTAATGATAAACAGTTTAAACTTGATCAATTAAGTTTGTTATCTTGTTCTATATCATATACATAGGGGAATTAGTTAAAAGTATTCGAAGTCTTCCACAATCTCCATATTCTTGTCAAATTTATTAAAAATAATCAATGTTATGCTCATTTAATTATTTTAATAGGTTTAAATATTTTCTTATTAATTAAGAAAATAAAAAATTCTTATTTTTAAATTATTCTTATAACATATCTATCTATAATAATACTAATTGCTTTATTTAATAATCATTATTATTCAAATCATAGATTAAAACAAATATCGAAATCGAATATTCAAACAGAATTAATAGCTACTATTCAACGTTTTTAATTTGAAAAGAGTTTTTTTTTTATTGAAGATAAAACTAATAACGATATGAAGATGATATTTGTGTAAAATATTGTTCACCAAATAAAGAATTATTATCAAAAGTTATTCTATCATAAATGTCGTTGTGTTTCTTTGTATATTGACTCTTTGTGTGGTGATGGCAATCGACTGATTTTATAGGCTTTACCATTTGATCCACATTCACAACATTCTCTGCAATTATTGAACTAACAAATATTTAATATATAAAATATAATTTTGATTTGAACTACCTTTAATAGAGATTCAAAATCAATTTTTATCGAACGAGAATAACACTCACAGTTTTCAGCGTCCTTTTAACTTCTCCATACTTTATTCGATAGACAACGATTCTCATTTTTTTATGAGAAAAGAATTTTTTGCTGTGGATTAATATTTGAAAATATTCTCTCAAATTTTTTTTATATATGTAAAAGATTTCTTCGTAATCTATTGTTTGTTTAGTGGAATATTCTTAATATCATGTTAAGTAAATTACCCATTTTTTATTTCGAGATCATTTAATGAAGTTGGAATCGATGAAGATCTTCGTCTAGTTCTTGTTTTGAAATCAATATTCGAACATCGTTTACCATATAGATTTATATAAACCAATATCGATACGATAAATACAATCAATATAATAAACAAAGGTACTAAAATCTTTAATTATTCAATTAATAAAGAATTTTTTAATTGAAAATAAATAAAATAAAACTTACTATAATTATAATATAAATTGATCTTTTATTTTGTTTATATGATTGATCATTAGAATGAGTTATTAATGAAGAATATTCAAAAGAATCATTCAATAGAGAATTTTCCTTTTTAGTTAATAATCTATGTTGACTAGAAAATAATGGTGGAGCTACTATTTGACTTGAACATGCATTTTCATTAAATATCATTAACGAATTACAAATACTAAAAATATTTTATAATAATTAAGTTATTTTCAATCCTTCTCGACTTTCCCCTCAATAATCGATCTTGCCTCACGAACATTCAAATTGCATGAAGTTTTCAGAATATATTCGAATTCTCGATCAAAAATCGCTAAAAATGTCTACTTTTTCAAAGTTCTATGTGATGTTTGACTTGATACTGCTAGTCTTCTACAGTCTGCAATGTTCCTACAAATAATTTCGAGTTACTGGTTCTTTCTATTCGAGTCTGAACATAAATCTAAGGTGTGCCTTTTTGTTTGAATGTTCGTAATTGATGATTAATTGTTGAGAAGTTCGAAAATAAATAAATGATGCTTTAGCTTACAATTGAACTTTGATAATATACCATTGAGGATAATTTCTATCATAATGTATTGATTGATAAAGATAATGATTGTTAGAAAGATTTTTAATAAATAATTCATATAAATCAATATGATTTCCTAAACGAATTAATTCATTATGTTGAACTGGTTGATCATCATTATCAATATAATCAATAAATATTCTCAATAAACGATTTCTTAAAATTGATTTTGATGAAAATAAATCACCTAATTTCCATGTAGTTCGATCAAGAAATAAACGATAATTTTTATATGATGAAAATGATAAGTAAAGTATATTCGTTTTACAATTATTTGGTGTAACCATAATTGAATATGGATCAACATATTTATCACATTGATAACTAACACATAAGTCAATACTATTATTAGATTTATTCACTATATAATTACAAAAATTATCCATCGTATTAATTTTATTCAATTGAAGTAATATGAATAATAACGATATAATTGACCATTGATACATAATTAACACATAAGATATTTAAGTCTGAATGTTAAAAATCAACTTTAGCATTTTTTTTCGCTCGATTATTCATCAAAAATGCCAAGCATTTTTTTCTTGTAATCATTGCTATTAAGATATTTATTGAGAAATAGAAAGCAAAGTTATTCTCATTCAAATACAGTAAATTTTAATTTGTGGGATGTTTTCTCTTTGTTTTTCTCGGATAAAAACTTAAAACAAAGTAATATTAGAAAAAAAAGATCTCAAGATGCATGGATTCTATTTGAAATTTTCAAATCTAAATTGTAATATGTTAAGTAGTTATTAATTCATCGAAAAATGTTTCTTATCAAGAAAAGAAAGGAAGAGAGAATAATGATAAATGGTCTTGTTCTGTTTTCTGCATGCATGAAAATATGTAGATAAGATATATTTATGACATAATATCAATCATTTATTTTTTTATTCTTAATTTAATAAAAAAGAGTAAAAGCAATGATTTGTTATTATAGATCTCGTACAGGTTATCGTCGTTTGTGTGAAATTCATGAAAACTAATATTTAAATAAAGAATCAATTGATAGAAATTATTTTACAAAAATATTTCTTAAGCAATTTAATAAAAAGTTCTTCAACGAGGAGAACATGGATGCATATCATTTGATATTTTAATAAATAGGAATTTCTTTTTTACTCTCATTAGATCACATGTGACAATTTAATTATTGGAGTTAAATAAATAAAAAATAAGATTTATTTATTTTCAATATTCAATTTCAATTATATAGATAAATAAGGTGCTTCATCAACATTTTCAAAAAATACTCTAGTAGAATTTCTATTAAAAAGTCTTCCCTTTAGATATGTTTGCCTATTTAAACGAAAAGATTCAACTCTTTGTTTTTTTTCTTTAATAGAAATAAAGAAAATAAATGCGGAAACTTCGGATTTAAATCCGACAGTTATGTGTACTTCAAAAAGTGAATCATACGAATAAGTCATCCTAGAATGTCTGAACATCAAAATTATACCGGGGGAACCTACCATTTAAAATGTTGATTTCTATTGCACGTTGCCAAACCAATAGGACTTGGGACCGAATACAGCTCAAGTTTGAACTCTTTCCCTTGAGGGTAATAATAATCGGCCGAATTTTTGGCCTACGGCCTACGCGACCCTAAAAAATATTATTCGCTTGTTTTTCTGTTCGTATGAATCATCTGCAGAACGAAAAAAAAATAACCAATTATTTTCGTAGGCCTACGTAGGCCGTAGGTCAAAAATTCGGCCGATTATTATTACCCTTCCCTTGATTTAACCTAAGAAAGTCATTTTTCCTATAACTTCATTGCTATTGGTCACTACACAACCAATAGTACTTCGATGGAAGTGCAGTACACATTCGAGTTCTCCATCTCTGAAAACCTCGAAGTATCATCAGTGTGATCGGAAGCTAGAGCTCGATTTGTGGATCAATTAAATCGTGGACCAAAATATAACCTAGTTCTCTTTAATTATCCTTGTCATAGGTGAGTCAGCCTTCTTGTTTCTCTATGCTTTATATATGATTTTGTAGCTCTTGAAATTCTCTATCGAATGGTATATAATAATTGGGGTTTTATTTGACTATGGTAGGAAAAGTCTTTTACGAAAGCGGCGATGGGTCGATTTTTCTACAGAAAGCTATAGAGAAAAATGGGTATTTTTGAAATAACTCAGGAACGACTCGGCCGATCCTTCTCATCTTCGAACTCGACGGAGATATTGTCAATACTAAGCTGTGTAGAAAGTTTCATCGCAATCTGACTCTGCTATCAAAAGTTATCATGTAAACAGCCAACCGGACGGACGGACACACTGACTATTCTATAGTGTACTCACTTTTTGAGTACACAAAACTATGATTCAGTTCAAAACTAATATCAGATTCGGAATCAGCGTTAAAAACTGAGTCGATTTATGTATTTTGTGAATAATTATGAGCAAAAAATTTTTTTCGAAAAATCCCCGTACCCCCCCTCAGGGATGGTCTCGGCAAAAATCACAATTTTTTCGATAACTCAGTCATTTCTTGACGGATCCTTCTCATCTTCGAACTCGACAGAGATATTGTCAAGACTGATCTGTGTAGAAAATTTCATCGCGATCTGACTCTCCTTTCAAAAGTTATCGAATAAACGGACGGCCGGACGGCCGGACACACTGACCGATTTTAGTAGTGTACTCACTTTTTGAGTACACAAAAATGAAGTTGATTATAAAATAATGGAAAATAAATTTTTGTTTATTCCAGAAACAAGAATATTTAACGATTTTATTTTTCTTCAATTATTTTTTCAAAGATTATCTTAAAAATATTTTCATATTTGTATCAACACTTTTATCTTTATTCTACATACTTTTGACTTATGCTTACACTTTTATTCAATATTTTGGCATATGATCACCACACTCGAAACATTTCTTGAGAGAGACTATCAAACTCTTGAGAACAACGTATTATCGTCGTCTATCAACTCTAAAACTAGATTGAATTGAATATCAATAGACATATACAAGATGAGATTTTCGAATGATGGTCATGAATACTCCATTGACTATTTATTCATCGTAATTCAAGTTTAACTAACTCTTAGTATTCAGTCTTAAATCAAACATATATAATTGATAATTAGTTAAATTCTAAGGCAAATAAATTTTGATTTGTCTTTTTAATGATAATATATCATGATAAAATAAGTATAGGTTTCCATAGATATTCTTTTTGATCATTGATCAAGTTTATTATATTGATACTTGAAAAAAGTCTACTCTAGAATATTGTTTTTGCTAATAAGATTTGTTTAATGATAATAATATTTTTATTCAATTTAAAATATGCTTTTTATTTTCACTTTGCTTTTTTTTTATCTTTGGGAAGAATTTTCACTAAAAGAATTATTATTAGGAAATATTCATAGTCATGTGGCTATCTTATCAATTTTATTTAGGAAGTAAACTCCTTTGTTAAATGCGTTATATTCAATTTAACATTATTCGACAATTTATAATCTATCAATTCGTACATGATCTAATTAAGAAAATCAATTTTTTTAAATTGTAATAAAAACGACTAGATTTTCAAATAAATAGAAAGAGAAAAATGACTAATCGATCTAAACCTTAGCTATCGACATTTCATTATAAAATAAATAATATTGATTGATTGATTAAATAAATTTGGTTATTTATTTCATTAGGTAAAATTTATTTGTTGATAAAATCAATAAAACAACTTCGAATTGATCAATATATTATATTACTTTGAATATATCTATTTTTCACTTGGTTAATTACTTTCATTTTCTTCTTCTTAATACAATCAATGTTAAATTTCAAGAAGAGTAATACAAATTTTCCTTGCAAGATAAATTGTTGCGAAGAATATCTTCCAATAATTTAAAGACCAATTTATTTGTTTATTATTAGTTCATTTTCTCGAAAGTATTTACGAAAATCAATCGATTAGCGATTCGAAAACTGATTGAGTTTTTTTTTTGAAAACCTTGAAAAGAGAAGCTCTTGTACCGCTACATTTGAAGAAATGTTGATAGACCTATCTTCAATAAATATGTTTAATATTTTCCATTTGACACAAACATGGTATTTTTAATGATCATATTCGAAAAAATTTTGACGACAACGATTATCCTTATATAGTTGTGGACAAATCTTGCGATATTTTTAATCATGTCAATCGTTTTTCAAGTGAATATTTGATTTTTCCTTTCATAACTACTTTCGAGAAAGTAAATTGAGAATGTGAGTGTGGGTATTGGATGTGGAGGTGGGTGTGGATCAATGCTACACACACACTACATTCTACACCCATACCCATACCTCCAGTTACGCTCAAGAATAAAGGTAGAGTCTTAAGTTCACCGGTATTTCCATGCATGACATACCCACGCTGACTTTTCCGCGCATAACAGTCCTCTACTCAGACAACTCCGCTTCTGGATCGAACTGGCTAGAATTCCAACCCTCGCCAATATTCAAACTTTTATCCGAACTCAGTAAACAGAAAATTTTGAAATCTGAACCTATCTAGATCCAACCGAATCCGATTATGGTTAGATGTAGTCCAGAAGGAAATAGCTACAACTGTAGCGCTTGCTCTCATCCCCAAGTAAGTATCGGTATGGTGATGTCACGCGCGAAACTGTCGTCTCATGGAACACTAACAGACTGACATTGTCTTTTGGTCAAGAGTTGAGTTTATCTGTTTTCGGTTGATTTACACACACTGACATCGAACACTTGTTTTTTGGTTGTTTTTTTTTGATGCAGTGCATTTGGCGTATTGTTTTTATTTGATATAAGTCAATATTATTCACTACATCACTCATAGCTTCTTCCCCATCGAATGCTTGCATTTTGTTGTTTTTGAATTTCGTCTTTATCAACGTGAAGGAAAGATGAAAGTCAGATACAGTGAAGAAATATGTGGAATCATGTGGAAGGTTCTTCACAATGTAGGGTACGAAATGTATTAGATTCCTTAGTGCATTAACATGATACGCAAATTTGTCTTGAAATTGAAGGGGAAGTGTAATTTCGCCAAATGTGAGTTTCGCCAATTGGCGA